CATGGTCACTGCAGCCAAGACTGCCCATGAGTTTCACATTCCCCACCAGCCCTTGTTGGTGAGAACAAGGTCCAGCATGGCACCTCTCCTTGTCGGTTCCTCAACCACTTGGAGAAGGAAGTTGTCTTCCACACACTCCAGGAACCGCCTGGATTGTTTGTGCCCTGCTGTGTTGTCTCTCCAACAGATGTCGGGGTGGTTGAAGTCCCCCATGAGGACCAGGGCCTGTGAACGTGAGGCTGCTCCTATCTGCCTATAGAGGGCCTCATCCGCTGGGTCTCCCTGGTCAGGTGGCCAAAGAAGATGACAAAACATGATTTCAAATATTTCAGTTCCTTGTTCCTCAAGGACCTATGGTTCTCATTCTTTGAATTGTGTGCTAAAGAACCTGATTCTGCTTGATAATATCAGTGGTAATATCAACATAAATCAATAAAGTAGTATAAGACTACCATAAAGAACATTCCCTCCCATGGTGTTTTACATTAAGTTTATGCACAATTTAACCTTGATTGTTCATTTAAGAGAATTATGAATCCTTTAAAAAATGGGACACACGCTTAGGTGGAAGAGACCATTAAATGATAAGGCAGCTATCTAAGAGATTTTTCTAGGCATAGTTTATCCTCAGAAAGGCAGGGAAACAATTTTTTATGGTGACATTGTGAGATCAGATCAGTGAGAAACGCTGACTTTGAATTTCTTCAGAAAAACAACAAACCTTCCAGTTCACTGCCTTGACTGCCCTTGTAAAACTGGATAATTGTCTCTGCAAATTGAAGCCATAAATTACTAATTTCACATGGTGCGAGAGGGTTGAATATACTAATTAGTCAAACAGTTGCATTCAAAGTTCAAGCAAGCCAGGCAAATACCATCCATGTATTTATATGTTCTTCTCTCTGGAGCATCTAGATCATTGCCACAGCTTACTGAGAAGTATCAAGGCAGATCCACTCCCAGGTTCTGCTTATGTTGCCTGGAAGTGCCCTGAAACACAGGATCCATCCCTTGGGATGAACTCATGGCCTAGTGGGAGAGGGTCCTGACCTGGGCTGCAGCAATAGGACACAGAATAGCAACACTACATTGCAGGTCAGCAATTCCTTCCACTTAAAACCTTGAGGGTGAGACTGAAACATTCCTTACATTGTGTAAAAATGCCTTAAGGTCCATTTTTGCTTGAGGAGGCGTTTTTATTTCCTTTTTACTGGGTGAGAGGTCCTGTGGGTCAAACTCAGCTGAATTCAGCTCAGGTGTTGTCCTTGTAGGAAGATGCATTGGGGGTCCCCTCAACTGCAGGGCAGAGAGGGAGCCTGTTGCTGGGGTTTTTTTGCTAGGAGGTCTTTGGAGCACCATTTTTGAGCACTCACTTTGAGGATGTGCGGTGTCATCAGCATCTGGAAACTCTTGTTTATTTTGGGCTCTTTTTCCCTTCCAATCAGAGAGTCCAAGCTCGGAAAACAGATGGGATTGTTCTACTAGTAATTGGTCCAGCTGCTGCAGAGAAAATAGAGGGAAAAGCATATTGCAGTAATAAAAATATAATAAAAGGAATCAAGCAGGATACACAAGAGTATATGAAGCATGCCTGCTTCTTCTGCTTGGTTCAAAGAAGTCACGCGATATCTGGCAAAGGAGATATTGCCATAAAAAGGAGGAGAAAGACCCAAAGGGCATTTTATTCCAACAGATAGATCTAATTGCCTAATGGAAAATCTCCAATTGGACTTCAATCTGTGACCATTGTAGTCTTGACCCTCTAACCCAAGTTTACCAGGGAAGAATCAAAGACAAGTAACTGATCCCCTGATCATGTTTTCTTCTTTTTCTTCCTTATCAAATGGAGAGCTGTTCCAGAAAAGAACCAGACCAGTAACTATTTATCTGTAATTCTGTAGGGTGACTGCCTGTCATATTCTTGAAATCATGGAACCTTTATAGAGCAGAGGAGAATATAGTCACTTCTATAAGTATTGGCACTTCTCTTGGGTGGTTGAGCTCAAGCAGCATAGCCAAAAAGATTGTCAAAGATGTAAACTGTAAGTCTGTTATCAGAAATCCTCCTATTCTTGGTGCTGAAGGGTTCATTCAGATGTACCTCAGAGTTAACACTTTGAACACGGATTAGCAGCTCAGGCTAAACTCTTCCTACATGACCCAGAGTGGTGGCTTTTGCAACGTACCGTAAGGATGTCCTCCCTGACCTGGCAAGCTTGGTCACTCAGCTGAAATTCCAGCTCTGCAATCTCCTGACGAACAGCTTGCCGTAAGAGTTGCAGGTGTCTGCCTTCCTCCCTGTGAGGACAACAATGAAAGCACACTTAAGTGAGAGTGAACAGCCTCCCCTTCCTCAGCCCCAGCATAACAGTTGTATCTCCCTCTGTTGTGCTCTTGTTTTTACCCATGATCACAGGATACCTTACAAAATAACAGCCCTTGTCTGCTTGACTCTCATTTCCTGGGCTGTCCCAGTTGCAAGGTTGAACACATTGCAGTTGCAGAGCCAGCTTGAGTCTGGGCAGGTTTGTCACTTCTGATTTATCTCCAACACAAAGACTGCAGAAATGCCCTACTTTCAGGCAGCTCAAGACTGGAAGTCCCTAGTAACTTTTTGTGAACCTGAAGCTTCTTGGTGATCCCTGTGAACTTGGGCTGAGTCCATGAAGGGCTAGTTCAGTTTTTCCTGCATCATCACCCCATTGATCATGAGCATTAAGTACATGGCCTAAAGGGATTAGTTTGCCAGAGATCGCTCCCACCTCCTTCCCTGAACCCAGCATTGACCTGGGACACTTAGCTCCAGGTGACTGAAATCTGTTCCTGTTGCTGCTAAAACATAGTACTTGCATGTTAAAAATCTTGCCTGTACCTATGGAGCAATCTTCCCCTTCAAAATGTTCGTGTTTAAGAGACTTGAACAGTGTGGAGAGAAGTTGGACTTACCTCTGAGCAAAAATCACATCACAGTTACATTTCTTCCCCACTTTCATGATGCACCCCACTGACCAGAATTACTGTGATAACACAAGTGACCAGACATGTTGCATGTGCCCACAGGCTGTTGCTGATGCTAGCTTTGGGTTTAGGTAAATGTTGGGCTGCCATTACCTTCCTTCATCTGGCATCGTGCTGGAAAACAGCACCTGCTCTTCGGTCAGGTGCTGTTCAATCTCATCCAGCTTCTCCTGGGAGTGCTGGCAGGAGCTCTTCATCACTTCTATTTCATGGAGGGTACACTACACAGAAAAACAAGAAGATACCTCACTTTACTACTTTTCTTTGAGCACTTCCATGTCGAGTGTGTTTGAAACTGACAGCTCGAACGGCATGGGCCCTCCTCTTACCTGCACGACAGGGACTCTGTGAGCAGCTGCCATGAAAGTCCAGATGGCACTTCAAGTGAGTTTGCTCTGGGTGTATCACTTGCATCCCAGTCATCACCTTTTCTCCTAAAGCATGTAGGATTAAGTGCTGGCACTACTTGAGCAAGTGAGAATTTAAATATTGCCACTGAAGAGGAAAAGGACTTTGATCAAAGACCTGATGCAATGTGCCAAATTCTGACGTTATTGCACTGTTGTCAGAGATTATATTTGAGCAGGATGAGTTCCTATGTGTTAATGACAGGTTACATTACTGTCCACTGGAAGTTAGAAACTGTTTTGAAAAGGAGAAAGATGAAGAGAGGGAAGGTATATAAGAACTGTGCGAAGAAGTGTCTTTCCTGATGGTTTCTGCCAAGTGTTATAATGATGATTTCTCATCAGTGTTGGCTGATTGCTCATTTGCCCCCCACCCCAAACATTAATCTTGATCCTCAGGCAGTTTTCCTGTTCCTAGGTGGGTGTGTGTAATGATTTCTTCTTCCCATTGCCAAATCTGTACAGAGTGAGGAGTTCTAGCCATCAAAAAAGTGTGCCCAAACAAGCTTGAAGAGCTCCTCTTAATCAGGTCACTAGGGAGAAGTCAGTGGGCCACAGACAAATTCCTAACTGATTCCTCAAGGCTAACAAAAATCTAGAAAACACCACGCAAAAGATATTAGAAGCACAATGTGAGTAGGTTTGTTAAAAAGTCATTCCAACCTTTATAGGTGAGATATGGGCAGTTCTCCTGGTACTGAGTCTTCGAGTATATCACAGAGCACATAGGTTTATTCAGAGTTCAGGCTCAGCAAGGATGGAGGTGGGACTAACTGTTCAAGGACTACTCTCATGCAAGACCTTGTTTAAGGTAAGGTCCATGTAAACATGGTAAATTTACTGTCTAACAGTTGTTCTGTGGTGGTTGCATTCCCCACACATGCCCTCGGTAAATGGGATGTAACCTGAGTGAACTTCTCTCAGTAAAAGATGTAGAAACTACCTTGCCTTTAATGAAAAGTACCAAGCAGGTGCAGTTGTAATGTCTGCAGAGTGGCTAATTCAGTCAATTCACTCCCTTATTGCCCAGTGACTTGGTTGTGGAGCCACATCCCTAAGAGCAGATCTTGGGTAACAGTACGGTGCAAAGTTGTTCCTCCCACACACCCTGTCCACAAACTAGAGAAGACAAATGGTCATTAGGCCCCATTAGAAGAGTGATAAAATAATAGTCAAGCCATGAGGAAAGGCTTCCCAGGCCAGCATAAGGTACTGATTCACTGCCATCTTGTGGCAACAGCCAGACAGCTGACAAGAAGAGTATTTTCCAATATACTGTTCAAAGACAAGACATCACAAGTTTATCTGTTCAGTGATGTGGCAGCATAAGACTGCCCAGTCTCACTTTCTGAAACTTTTATCCAATAATTTTCTCCCCCAGTTTGTACAAGAGTTCAAATGCTTGCAAACCAAGCAGGAGGTATGGCCACATTTTTCTTAGGATGCAAAAGCCACTCCTGACTCCCTTCCTTGTTTTCTTCCTCAACAAACCCGAGTCTTTCAAAACTTTTGGGAACTCACATCAATTCTGAGCAAAGAAATAAAAATCTGGTAACTTTTTACTATCGGTATTTTTATTGCAAATATCCATCTTAGCAGGTCTTTAGATTGAATGCGACCTTTATATTCTGTCATGGTAAAATGGCTTGAGGCTCTGAGAAGTTGCAATTCACTTTGATTTAGAGCAGTTTGGCTTATGATCTGTATCTGGGTGTTCACAATTAGTCTTTAAAAAATGCTAAGTAATATAACCTAAATGAGTTCTCAGTAAAAGAGGATTACACTAAATCATATAACCTTGCACTTTCTGCAGTCCAGTAGGTTACTCAGTTACTGTAACTCTGCTGATTCACAGGAACTCACAGAAGCTCATTCTCATCTCTCAGTTCTTCATTTGACCCATAAACTTTCTCACCCAGTTCCCAGTAACCATTTTAAGACTGAACCTATGTACATAAGTTACTAACAGAAGCAGCCCAACAAAACTGAAGGTACATGCATACGTTTGCCCTTTTTTTCCAGAAGGGAATGTTTTTTCCCCACCCATTTTCTCAGTTACATTCCCAGGATATGTCTCACCAAAGAAGTAACCATGGCAGGAAGGAAAAGGGAAAGGCAGCTTGTGCATTTAGCTCATAACCACGTGAGTTGTCCATGTATACGAAGAAACCTACTCACCTGAGGAAGATGACACATCGCAGTGTCCTGCAGGAACATCAAGGTTTTCAAGAGCTGCAGCTTAGTGGAGGCATGGTTTGAGCAGCAGCCCACAGGGTGATGGGGAGAGACACCCATTGGGAAGGTCCATGGGCAGCAGCTGTGGCAGCAGCAGTGACAGTAGCAACTGCCCTGTGTAACCCCTGCACCAGAGGCTTCACCCCAGTAGTGTGACCTGTATTTGCCAGAAAATATGGTGTCAAGAGAGGCTGATTTTTTCAGGTGACTACAGGGTGGATGAAGCAGTGGTGGCCATCCAGGATGCCTGGCATGCGTGTCAGTTTGGGTGGAGGCTTCAGTGATCTGCTTCACACCATCCTTTGAAGGCCCTGGTTCTGACAGTATGAGAGGACCACTCTCAGAGTGGTGCACTAACATGTCAGAGAAATCCACAAGATCTTCCCTAGCAAGGCTCTCGCTGACAGGAGCATTTTGTCCTGTGTACTTCACCCTTGAAGTAAACTCCAGCCCTGAAGACATCTGAACAGTAACAGATTTCAGAGGAGCAGAAGCCATTTCACCATGTTGGACAGTGTCTCCCTGTTCCAATTTGTTGGCACCTGACTTCTCCCCTATGTTACCAGTCTCTTGAGCTTCAGATGAACTTAATCCAGGCCCTTCCACTAGACTGGAGGGATGCCTCTGAGACACTTGCAGAGAACATCTTGAAGTGGCATTGCTCCCACACTGCACTGCTGAGCCCTGCTGCACAGTTTCTGGAAGTCCCATTTTGGGGAAGCATCTTGTATTTTTTGAATCACTATACATTTTGCAGAACTTCTGCCTGCTTGTCACCTCATTCATTGCAAGTAGGGTACCATCTTTGCTGATCACATCCACTCCTTGCCACAGTCCTTTAACACCTCCTGTACAACCTGGATGGGCACTTTCATGACATGCAACTCCAACATCCTTTTCAGTTAGGCACCTCTCACCTTCATCTTTGCCCTTAATTTTGCTCTCACTGATGACTGCAGGGTTTATATCACTCACTTCAATGAAGCCTACATTCACCTTTTTGTGTTCTGTACTAAAATATAAATGATGATCAAATTTTGAGGATCCAGGATCTCCTTCATCCTGAGTATCACCTTGAAAATAAGGATTATGCTCTTTTATACACTCCTCTTTTTTCAGTTGCTTTCTTCCAGTTTTATCCTCCTTCTTGTCCATGTCACATAACATTTCTTGTACAAAAGTCTGTGGCTCAGCATTATAGGCCTGATACTCGCCATTTTCTGCAGTCAGCAGCAGATGAGTCTCTTCTCCCTGGTCACTCCATGCTTTCGTTGATCTAGGTACTGTCAAAATGCTCTCGCAAGCTGTGATGAAGACCTTGGCAACACAATCATCTGTCTTTTGTTGAAAATCTTGATTTAACATGGGAAAAACTGTCCTGTCTGACAGAGCCATTTCGTGATTGTGGATATCAGAAATAAAATTAATCTTTCCTGGCAAAGATACATTCTGAAGGAAAAAAAAAAAAAAGAGGAATTGAAATACTACATTTGTTCTATCACACTGGCTTGCCCACCACTCTTTGCCCTGAGCATCCCTAGAACATCTTTAAATACCCAATGAAACAAACTTTCTTGTAATATTTCTTTTCTAATACCTGTAATCTTGCACAAATATTGCATTAGTGAGGTGGAAGAGTTGCACAAATTTCTGAGAAAGCTTCTCTCCTTCTGATTTTTTTTAGGAGGATGAATTTGTTTTCATTAAGTTTTCACAACTCCTTGATTGATTATTTATTTATTTGTTTGTTTATTTATTTATTAATGTTACTGGTACTAAGGTTAAGGAGTTTTATAGACCTATCAATGATTATTGCTCATTTCTTACTTGCAAAACTACAGGTTCTGGCAACTCCTCCATGAACCCGCTGCTGTCTGACTGGCAGCTGCTTGTTCTTGTCACCATCACTTCTGCTGAGGAAAACAAAAGGATAAGAAAAATAAGGAAGAAAGAGAGAAAGCAGTGACTAGCCAAAATTTACATAGAGCTAAGCAGGTACAGTTCCTAGAATATTTCCTAGAAATATTCTTGATCCTGCCCAGAAATCTGCAATATTGCTGCAACCAGAAAAAAAAAATAACAAAATGTGCTCAGGAGAGCTACCGCTGATGTTACTGAGCGTTGACTTATTCACCATTGTAATAATCAACTGCAGTTTTCAGATTTTGATATATTCACACAACACACACAATAGAAATAACCTACAAAACAGCCAACCAACTTGTTTTCCCTTACTAAAAATGTTGCCTTTTGACCATCGGAACTGGCTCAGACCAAATCTCATTCATACCTACATAGTTTTGATGGCTTCAACCAAGTGATTCCTGCAGGGAAAGGGAGCTGCCCTAGCCTCTCCCTAGACCATTTTGTCTCTACTTCGAGGCATCGTGTATGATCTTTGTTGGTTTTCGGTCTGAGAACAGGAAATCACAGTAGCAAGCAGAGATGATGTAGGGTTGCAAGACATGTATAGCAAGACATAAAACAAGAGGAAGATATTCTAGATTTATTTCAGAGAAGGCTTCTAATCTAGCAGCCACATCATCTGGCTAAATCAATTCTTACCCCAGCTTTTGCAATTAAATAAACTATACACTGTTAACTAGCTGATTTCATTAATTATAGCCAACCCTCTTTAAAAGTACAAATGCTTGTAAGTAAACCCTCAGTTATCCTGTACATCCTTTTCCTCTCAGCCCTTGGATAACTTACACTTTCAGATAACCTTCATCCTCACACAGTGTCCTCATTCTCAGATAGCTGGCACAAAAACACAGGTAGAGTTGGGGGAGCAAGCTGAGGGAGTCTCCTGGTGAAGGGAAGGGATGGAGACTGAGACACTCTGGATATACTTCCTCTCTTGTTCCTTGCATGCGTAACCACTACTGAATCCTAGGGCTTTTTATCTTCTGTTTATATCCAAGAAAATAAGACAATTCACCTAGCAGTTCTGAGATCCAAGTTATTAATTCTCACTTGTGTGAACTGGGAAAAAAAAATTCTAAAAATTATGTTTTCACAAATTAACAGACTATGGGCTTTATTAAGTGTATCTTGGGCATCTATTAATGAAAATAATGCAATCTTTTTGTAGGCAGCAACTGTAAAATCAGAACTAAACATAATTTTATGGTTTTCAAATTAATTACTTGCATTGTCAGTCCTGGTATCATCAGCAGCACATCAGTCAGTCAGTCACTTTCCTATTTCAGATGAGAAATATGTGGTTCCCATCTCACACATTACAAAATCTGCAGTGATGTTGCTGAAAATTGCCTGTTTTGTGGGTGGTCTCAAAAATCATTCTTGCAGTTTCCCACAAACGACACCATGGTTCAGCTTCTCCCCCAGGGAGACTGCTCTACAGATTCTCTATACTTTTTTTAAAGCTGTTTCAATTACCCTTTGCATCTTTGCCAGCTGTTGCTTCCAGTGTGTCAGTCTGGCCTACAGTTGTAGGGACATAAAAATGAAGAAAGAAAGGCTTAGGAAAAATTTGGAAAAAAGCTGAAATGTTTCAGTAGCTGTAGTTCCAACCAATTTGGAACCAACAACACTCAATGGTGTCCTACAGTCATAACAACTGACCTTCCAGCTTTAAAGCTAGCAGAGTTAGAAGACCATATTATCTGCTTACCTAATGTTTTAAGGTGCCTGTTTTTCTCCTGGGACACGAAGGATACCAAAGTAGCTGGCATGTTACTAGAAATTAAATTTTAGGGAAAAACCCTTTAACTTTGAATGGAAGAGTAAGTGTGGTTCAAATTCATCTTCTGACCTGGTCAAAACCCAGGTTTGACTCATTTTCTACAATAAATGCAATGCATCTGTTCCAACAACAGTCAATTGTTGGAACTGCAACCATGCAACCTTCCCATCTACATTTATAGTCATGCACTAGCTAGGAAACTACTCAAAACATGTCAGAGTGGAGTCCAGGCTGGTCTTCAGGCACAAGGTGAGACATTAAAGACTGGATGAAATATCTGCAGACCAAGTTAATATCACTAGAGTTAGGCTACAGAAAGCCCTCCATGTGTGTCCCTGGACTTGCCCTGGAAGGAGATGTGATGGGTGCTTTGCTATTGTGGCTCTCTGTCCTAGTTTAACTTGGCTGGCAGACAAACACAACACACAGCTGCTCACTCACTCTGCCCCCCACCCAGGGAGCTGGAGAGGTAACTGGAGGGGTAAAGGTAAGGAGACTCATAGGTTGAGATAAGAACAATCTAATAATTGAAATAAAATGAAACTTAAAATGATAATGATAATGATAATGATAATGATAATGATAATGATAATGATAATGATAATGATAATGATAATAATAGAAGATACAAATAAGTGACTCACAGTGCAATTGCTCACCACCCACCGACCAATGCCCAGCCCATTCCCAGATAGGGATCCCAGAGGAGTGAAAATCCTGAAACCAAAACTGCAATCCCGAAGAAGAGAGAGAGAGAGGCATCATGGATGGTCTGGCCAACCTCACTTATATACTGAACATGACATTATATGTTATGGAATATCCCATTGGCATATCCAAATGCCAATTTGGGTGTGTGATACTATGCCCCCTTCCCCACCCCATTGCTTCTGCACCTGCAGATTAGCAAAACACAGGGGAGTTGGAAAGTTCCTGATCTTCCAGCAACAACTAAAAACATGAGTTCATTATCAACATTCTTCTCCTACTGAATCCAAAGAAGAGCGCTATTCTTATTACCGAGAGAAGAAAATTATCTCTGTTCCAGCAAAAACCTGGACACTCTCGTTGATTAAAAATGCAAGGTGAGTACATAAATCAAGGCTCAATCCAGAATGAAAGACTGGCTGTGTATGTGTTTAAAATGGTAATACGATAGGACCTAACGACCATTCTGAGCATAAATCCAGTTTCTACAATTTTTTATGTTCGCAAAATAGAAACTTGTAAAAGAGAAGAAAAGTGCAGTAGGAGAACCATGTTAAGCACCTGTTCACCTGTGTTTGTTACTGTGATTTCCTGTCCTCAGACCAAGTAATCACCTTCATCTGAGTTAGGCAACTAATTTGCACCTATCTACATATCAGATGCATAATGAACTAATACCCTTAGAGTCAAGGTTTAAATTCCACATACAGCTACCACAAAGCAGTGTCTCTGAGGGGCTGAGCTGCAGTTCTTTTCCAACTACATTCAGATGCCTAATTTAATCATTACATCCCACACCGACTTGCAAGATCCTGCCCAGTGTGCCAAGCCTTGCTGAAGGTAGGCAGGTGAAGATAAGGAGGTTTTTAAAAGAGGAGATTTTTTTTCTGACTCTGTAACACTTTACTCAAAGCCAGCCAAAATTCCCTCAGTTTCAGCGTAAGTCTGAATTTAAAAAAAGACTTAGTAAAAATGAATATGGGCCTCTGATTCAAAGTGAGGTAAAAAAAGCTACGAAGAGGTTGTCAAAGTGCTCCCACAAGGACTTCCAGCTGAACAACCCACTCCCAGGAGAAAAGCGGAGCAGGGCTGTGTTGGGGAGGCAGATCGTGCTGCTGGCTGGGGCTGTGCTGAAACTAGATTAAACGTGATAGCCTTTGCAATTTGAGGCAGCTCAGTTTCAACCTATGTAAATATAGTTTGGTTTAATACCTGTATACCAGAGCCAAGTAATCTTTGCATAATGGAGGGCAGCATTTGCATACCCGGGAAACCGTGTTTTGCGTGAGGAGTGGGCCAATCTATCATTTCATTTCCTCTTGGTGTCCCAAATAGGGATTAAGTGAGACTGCAAATTAGACCATGCTTGATGCTCTCCTGAGTAGGAATAGAGTTTCTCTCTTTGTGAAATTTTCAGTAACATTAATAGCTTGCCAATGGTAACAGCACTATTTTTCTCAGCAGGCTCTAGCACCCAGCGAGTATATCACAGAATCATAGAATGGTTTG